TTATATATAAATATTTATAAGTATATATACAGTATATACATGATGCAAATATTTCTTAAATATATACATGCATGTGTTTGTATTTATATACAAAATAATTATACACAGTACACACACACATATATTATGTAAACACAAACTTTTATTTTGGATGCGATGCGATTAATCGTCTCACAGCACTAATTTAAAGTATAACTTTCCAGCCTGCTTTGTATTGTTATAATGTCAGTGCGCTTGTTTCTCCCTATGACATACTTTAGTAATCCTCATAAGTTAGCTATCATTCAAAAGCTTAACCCTTCAAAATCCCTCCTGTTAAACTGTGACCTGATCTCAGGGTTCTGGGCGCGTGAACTGGGTCACATGATCGGATTCCAGCACCCCACCGTCCCAGTGCACCACCAGTACGTCGTCACGGCGACCGTTCCCGAGGTGAAGGCCCTGGGGGCGGAGCTTCCGGTGATCCGGGATCTGGAGGGCTCGTATTACCTTCGTCAGGAGCGCGACGGGCTGCTGTTCGGACCCTACGAGAGCGAGGAGAAGATGGTTCTGCAGGACTCGTGGATCCGAGACGGCGTCCCGCCAGGTCAGAGATCACCGTAGCAACGTCCAATCACAGCGCAGTCGTACACCGTAGCAACGTCCAATCACAGCGCAGTCGTACACCGTAGCAACGTCCAATCACAGCGCAGTCGTACACCATAGCCACAACCAATCACAGTGCAGTCGTACACCGTAGCATCGTCCAATCACAGCGCAGTAGTACACCATAGCCACAACCAATCACAGTGCAGTCGAACACCATAGCAACGTCCAATCACAACGCAGTTGTACACCATAGCAACGTCCAATCACAGCGCAGTCGTACACCATAGCAACGTCCAATCACAGCGCAGTCGTACACCATAGCAACGTCCAATCACAGCGCAGTCGTACACCATAGCCACAACCAATCACAGTGCAGTCGTACACCGTAGCATCGTCCAATCACAGCGCAGTAGTACACCATAGCCACAACCAATCACAGTGCAGTCGTACACCATAGCAACGTCCAATCACAGCGCAGTCGTACACCATAGCAACGTCCAATCACAGCGCAGTCGTACACCATAGCAACGTCCAATCACAGCGCAACGTCCAATCACAGCACAGTCGTACACCATAGCAACGTCCAATCACAGCGCAACGTCCAATCACAGCACAGTCGTACACCATAGCAACGTCCAATCACAGCGCAACGTCCAATCACAGCGCAGTCGTACACCATAGCCACAACCAATCACAGTGCAGTCGTACACCATAGCAACGTCCAATCACAGCGCAGTCGTACACCATAGCAACGTCCAATCACAGCGCAGTCATACACCATAGCAACGTCCAATCACAGCGCAGTCGTACACCATAGTCACATCCAATCACAGCGCAGTCGTACACCGTACCCCATTCACAGCGCAGGCGTACACCGTAGCAACGTCCAATCACAGCGCAGTCGTACACCATAGCAACGTCCAATCACAGCGCAGTCGTACACCATAGCAACGTCCAATCACAGCGCAACGTCCAATCACAGTGCAGTCGTACACCATAGCAACATCCAACCATAGCAACGTCCAATCACAGCGCAGTCGTACACCATAGTCACATCCAATCACAGCGCAGTCGTACACCGTACCCCATTCACAGCGCAGGCGTACACCGTAGCAACGTCCAATCACAGCGCAGTCGTACACCATAGCAACGTCCAATCACAGCGCAGTCGTACACCATAGCAACGTCCAATCACAGCGCAACGTCCAATCACAGTGCAGTCGTACACCATAGCCACAACCAATCACAGTGCAGTCGTACAACATAGCAACGTCCAATCACAGCGCAGTCGTACACCATAGCAACGTCCAATCACAGCACAGTCGTACACCATAGCAACGTCCAATCACAGCGCAACGTCCAATCACAGCGCAGTCGTACACCATAGCCACAACCAATCACAGTGCAGTCGTACACCATAGCAACGTCCAATCACAGCGCAGTCGTAAACCATAGCAACGTCCAATCACAGCGCAGTCATACACCATAGCAACGTCCAATCACAGCGCAGTCGTACACCATAGTCACATCCAATCACAGCGCAGTCGTACACCGTACCCCATTCACAGCGCAGGCGTACACCGTAGCAACGTCCAATCACAGCGCAGTCGTACACCATAGCAACGTCCAATCACAGCGCAGTCGTACACCATAGCAACGTCCAATCACAGCGCAACGTCCAATCACAGTGCAGTCGTACACCATAGCCACAACCAATCACAGTGCAGTCGTACAACATAGCAACGTCCAATCACAGCGCAGTCGTACACCATAGCAACGTCCAATCACAGCGCAGTCGTACACCATAGCAACATCCAATCACAGCGCAGTCGTGCACCGTAGCATCGTCCAATCACAGCACAGTCGTACACCATAGAAACATCCAATCACAGCACAGTCGTACACCATAGCAACGTCCAATCACAATGCAGTCGTACACCATAGCAACATCCAACCATAGCAACGTCCAATCACAGCGCAGTCGTACACCATAGCAACATCCAATCACAGCACAGTCGTACACCATAGCAACGTCCAATCACAGCGCAGTCGTACACCATAGCAACATCCAATCACAGCGCAGTCGTACACCATAGAAACATCCAACCATAGCAACGTCCAATCACAGCGCAGTCATACACCATAGCAACATCCAATCACAGCACAGTCGTACACCATAGCAACGTCCAATCACAGCACAGTCGTACACCGTAGCAACGTACAACCATAGCAACGTCCAATCACAGCACAGTCGTACACCGTAGCAACGTACAACCATAGCAACGTCCAATCACAGCACAGTCGTACACCGTAGCAACGTACAACCATAGCAACGTCCAATCACAGCACAGTCGTACACCGTAGCAACGTACAACCATAGCAACGTCCAATCACAATGCAGTCGTACACCATAGCAACATCCAACCATAGCAACGTCCAATCACAGCGCAGTCGTACACCATAGCAACATCCAATCACAGCACAGTCGTACACCATAGCAACGTCCAATCACAGCGCAGTCGTACACCATAGCAACATCCAATCACAGCGCAGTCGTACACCATAGAAACATCCAACCATAGCAACGTCCAATCACAGCGCAGTCATACACCATAGCAACATCCAATCACAGCACAGTCGTACACCATAGCAACGTCCAATCACAGCGCAGTCGTACACCATAGCAACATCCAATCACAGCGCAGTCGTACACCATAGCAACATCCAATCACAGCGCAGTCGTGCACCGTAGCATCGTCCAATCACAGCACAGTCGTACACCATAGAAACATCCAACCATAGCAACGTCCAATCACAGCGCAGTCATACACCATAGCAACATCCAATCACAGCACAGTCGTACACCATAGCAACGTCCAATCACAGCACAGTCGTACACCGTAGCAACGTACAACCATAGCAACGTCCAATCACAGCGCAGTCGTACACCATAGAAATGTCCAATCACAACGCAGTCGTACACCATAACAAGGTCCAACCATAGCAACGTCAAATCACAGCACAGTCGTACACCATAGCAACGTCCCATCACAGCAGTCGTACACCATAGCAATGTCCATTCACAGCGCAGTAGTACACCGTAGCAACATCCAACCATAGCAACGTCCAACCATAGCAACGTCCAATCACAGCACAGTCGTACACCATAGCAATGTCCAATCACAATGCAGTCGTACACCATAGCAACGTCCAACCATAGCAACGTCCAATCACAGCGCAGTCGTACACCGTAGCAACATCCAATCACAGCACAGTCGTACACCATAGCAATGTCCAATCACAGCAGTCGTACACCATAGCAATGTCCATTCACAGCGCAGTAGTACACCGTAGCAACATCCAACCATAGCAACGTCCAACCATAGCAACGTCCAATCACAGCACAGTCGTACACCATAGCAATGTCCAATCACAATGCAGTCGTACACCATAGCAACGTCCAACCATAGCAACGTCCAATCACAGCTCAGTCGTACACCGTAGCAACATCCAATCACAGCATAGTCGTACACCATTGCAATGTCCAATCACAATGCAGTCGTACACCATAGCAACGTCCAACCATAGCAACGTCCAATCACAGCGCAATCGTACACCATAGCAACGTCCAATCACAGCACAGTTGTGAATCGTACATCTTTTATATTCTGTTTTGTTCTATTCTATTCTATTCTATTTTTTATTCTGGTCTATTCTGTTCTAAGATATTCTGTTTTATTCTATTTCAATCTTTTCTATTCTATTCTTTTCTCATTTTTATATTCTAGTCTATTCTGTTCTATTCTATTCTATACTTTTCTATTCTATTCTATTCTATACTTTTCTGTCTTCATAAATCAGTATCTTTGTTTTCCAGTAAAAAACTGGAAAACAAAGCGCAGTCGTGCATCAAACAAGTGTGTGTGTGTGTGTGTGTGTGGGTTGAAGGTTTCGGGAAGGAGTTGTTCGAGTCGGATCTGGACCGGATAATGGATCATGTGGAAATGGCCATGGAGATGGTGCCGGTTCTGAAGAACGCTGACATCATCAACATCGTGTCCGGGCCGATCACGTACACACCGGACCTGCTGCCCATGATCGGGCCGCACCAGGGAGCCCGCAACTACTGGACCGCCATCGGCTTCGGGTCCGCACCACATCTGACAAACATTACAGTATCATAACGACTGAGGTGATGATTGACATGTGAGGTGTGATTGACAGGTACGGCATCATTCACTCGGGAGGAGTGGGGAAGTTCCTCAGTGACTGGATCATGAGTGGTGAACCCCCGTATGACCTCATCGAGTGTGACCCCAATCGCTACGGCAACTGGACCACCATACCGTACGTGTGCGCCAAAGCCAGGGAATCCTACGGCTTCAACAATGTGGGTGAGTCACGTGACAGGAAGAGGCGTGTTTGCTGGAATGATGCTGGAACGATGATATGTGTGTGTGACTGGTTTGTTTCAGTGGGCTTCCTGAAGGAGGAGCATCAGAACACCCTAATAACTGTATAGAAACAGCCTAAAACACTCAGAACATACTAGCAACTGCATAGCAACAGCCTAAAACACTCAGAACACCCTAGCAACCGCATAGCAACAGCCTAAAACCCTCAGAACACCATAGAAACCGCATAGAAACAGCCTAAAACACTCAGAACACCCTAACAACTGCATAGCAACAGTCTAAAACACTCAGAACACCTTAGCAACTGCATAGAAACAGCCTAAAAGACTCAGAACACCCCAGCAACCGCATAGCAACAGTCTAAAACACTCAGAACACCCTAACAACTGCATAGCAACAGCCTAAAACCCTCAGAACACCCTAGAAACCGCATAGAAACAGCCTAAAACACTCAGAACACCCTAACAACTGCATAGCAACAGCCTAAAACCCTCAGAACACCCTAGAAACCGCATAGAAACAGCCTAAAACACTCAGAACACCCTAGCAACTGCATAGCAACAGTCTAAAACACTCAGAACACCTTAGCAACTGCATAGAAACAGCCTAAAAGAGGAGTGCGATGCTGGAATGATGCTGGAACGATGATCTGTGTGTGTGACTGGTTTCAGTGGGCTTCCCGAAGGAGGAGCGTTTCGCGGGTCGGCCCACTAGCCGGGTCAGTGGCGTCTATGAGCTGCTGAAGGACAAATGCTCCATGGGTTTCCATGCAGGCTGGGAACAGCCACACTACTTCCACAAACCTGGAGACGACATCGGATACAAGTGAGCGGATGCTGATGTCTATATAATCTAAATTATATATTAACACTAGCGTTCAACGTTTAATGTTTTTGAGAGAGTCTCTTCTGCTCACAAAGGCTGCATTTATTTTAAAAAAATGTATGTAAAACTGTGAAATATTATTACCATTTAAAAATAACTGATATCCTTAAATAAAAAACCCTGAACTTGTTGACGGCAGTGTGAGTGAGTCTCTCTCTCTGGTTCTGTGATGCAGACCCAGTTTCAGAAGGACGAACTGGTTCGGGCCGGTCGGACGGGAGTGTAAACTAGTGATGGAGGGAGTGGGTGTGATTGACCTTTCACCCTTTGGGAAGTTCATGGTGAAAGGAGATGATTCACACCGGCTGCTCGACCGGCTGTTTGCCAACACACTCCCAAAGGTGAGAGAGAGAAAAACTGCTTAGCAACAGCCTAATAGCCACATAGCAACAGCTTAAAACACTTCCCGAAGGAGTAGCGTTTCACTGGGTGCCGCGAAACCCTCAGAACACCCTAATAACTGCATAGAAACATCCTAAAACACTCAGAACACCCTAATAACTTCATAGAAACAGCCTAAAACACTCAGAACACCCAAATAACCCCATAGTAAAATCCTAAAACACTCAGAACACCCTAGCAACTGCTTAGTAACCACTGAAAACACTCAGAACACCCTAGCAACTGCATAGCAACAGCCTAAAACAGTCAGAACACCTTAGCAACTGCATAGAAACAGCCTAAACACCCAGAACACCCAAATAACTGCATATCAACAATGGCCCAAAACACTCAGAACACCATAGAAACTGTTTAACAGCCTAAAACACTCAGAACACCCTAGCAACTGCATAGCAACAGCCTAAAACACCCAGAACACCCAAATAACTGCATAGAAACAGCCTAAAACACTCAGAACACCCTAGCAACTGCATAGCAACAGCCTAAAACACTCAGAACACCTGTGTTTAGTTAAAGATTGTGTCTGGATGGAGAATCACTTCATGAGTACACACACTTGGAACTGACAGCAAAAGCAGTCAGACTGAATGATGATGATGTTTGATCCTCAGGTGGGCCAAACCAACATCAGTCACATGCTGACCCCGCGGGGGCGTGTCTACGCTGAGGTCACGGTTACCCAGATCACACCTGGAGAGTTTCTGCTCATCACAGGCTCCGGGTCCGAGCTTCACGATCTGCGGTGCGAGCAATAACACAGACACACACACACACACACACACACACACACACACACACACACACACACACATACACACACTCACACACACACACACACACACACACACATACACTCACTCATTCACACATCAGTAACATTTACTACTGTCTGAGAGCTGAAGGGAGCCAAGTGTGTGTAAAGTGAGAACATCTGAAGAAGTGTGTGTGTGTGTGTGTGTATGTGTGTGTGTGTATGTCAGTAACAGCTGTCTGGTTTCTGCCCCTCGGTCTCATCCAATCAGTAAGCAGCGCAATCACCTCCCCGCTGACACACACACACACACACACACACACTCAGCGCCCTCTCCTGGATGAAAGTGTATTGGCCTGCAGTACTAACAGAGACTAACACATGGAGCTGTTAATAACTGCAGCTTACTTAATCAATGCTCACTAACACTAGAGCTAATGGTTATGACACCTTCAGTGAGTCTCAGGGTCGAGTGTGTGTCGTCCTGCAGCGTTTGAATAATTACTGAAGTCAAGTCACATTTATTTATACAGCGCTTTACAGCACAGAGTGTTTCAGCAGCTTTACTGAGAGAACAGGACAATAATGCAAGAGTGTGTTTCCAGAAGAGAATAGCGTCACAGTCCAGCTTAAGTCAGTTCAGTGATGCTTCATTTCTGCTGTAAAAGTTATTAATTTAGTTCATTTATATATATAGCGGCTCTGGAGAAAACCGTGATGTCATCATCCAGCTCAGTTCAGTTCTCATATAATGCTGTCAATGCAGGAGATCAATAATATTGCTGAATATTACATTAAATACAGACATCATGTGTGTTTTTGAGGAGAGTGTGCTTCTACTTTCCTAGATCAGATGTACCATTTCCACCTGCTGAACCAGGAAACATAAAAACTGTTTAAAAAAATACCCCAGGCTTGCAAAAATACAAGCAACTGCCTAAAAACACTCATAACAACACCTTGCCAGACACTTATAACCCATAATATCATTATTTCCGTTACTGATAGTGATGCGGTGGTTTCTCTCTGCTTCAGATGGATCGAACGCGAGGTGTGTGATGGGGATTATCACGTGAGTGTGTGTAACGTGACGGATGAGATCGGTGTTTTGGGCGTCGCCGGGCCGAAGTCTCGAGCGGTTCTTCAGAAACTGAGCGATGAGGACATGAGTGATGCGGGTTTCAGATTCCTGTGGTGCAGATCCCTTCAGCTGGCCGGCGTCCCGGTGCGAGCCGTCCGGATATCATACACAGGTGATCCGTGTGCGGCCCGAATCCCGGAGGACAACACACACGGACATGTGTTGCACAAACTGGAAAAACAAATGCTAAATTATCAGAATAGCAAACATTGTGGTCACGGATCAAAATATAATAAGCGTGAATAAAAAATTTAAACGCGTTAAAAATTGTATTGCACAAAACTGAAACTTCACGCTTATTATATTTTGATCCGTGACCAAAATACTTTTGATGGGACATTGATCCCGTAGATCAGTACAGGCTGACGGACAGAACTAGCAGTTTTCCTCATGCAGTGTGTGTGTGTGTGTGTGTGTGTGTGTAGGTGAGCTGGGTTGGGAGCTGTACATGGACATGAGAAACATGAGGTCTGTGTATCAGGCGCTGATGGAAGCGGGACAGAACGAGGACATCGACGACTTCGGCACATACGCCATGAACTCACTGAGACTGGAGAAGGGCTTCAGAGCCTGGGGAGCCGAGGTCCTGCTCACACACACACACACACAGACTGTGTGCGAGTTCATATTGTATTCTGTGCTTATGTCATCAGACTGATGTAATCTCATGTTAACGCGAGTGAAGAGGTTTGCTCATAAACATCTCACTGTGATTCAGGGAAACGATCACATGTAAACGCGTCTCAGTGTGTGTTCTTCTGTTTCCAGATGAACTGCGACACCAATCCTTTCGAAGCCGGTTTGGACTATTTCATCAAACTCAATAAGGTAATAATGAAACTCTCAGTGCGTCTCTGAGGTGTGAGCCGGATCTCACCGGATCTCACCGGTTCTGTGTTTCCAGCCTGCAGATTTCGTGGGTAAACAGGCTCTGCTGGAGATCAAGGCTCAGGGTTTGAGGCGTCGACTGGCGTTCCTCACACTGAACACTGACGACATCGACCCCGAGGGGAACGAGACCGTCTGGCACAATGGACAGGTAAAGTGTGTGTGTGTGTGTGTGTGTGTGAGTGCGTGTGGGAGTGTGTGTGTGTGTGTGTGTGCGTGCATAAGTGCATCTGTCCATGATAAAAGTGCATCTAAGGCCTGACTCCAGAGGCTGTTAAAGAGCATGTGTGTGTGTGAGAGGTTACGTGAGAGTTTACCACCGTGTGTGTGTGTGTGTGTGTGTGCAGGTGGTGGGGAACACGACGTCAGGATCGTACAGCTTCACTGCTCATCAGAGTCTGGCGTTCGCGTATCTGCCACTCCATCTGATCCGCGAGGGGCAACAGCTGGAGGTGGAGCTTCTGGGTCACAGACACCCGGCAACGGTTGCTAAGGAGCCGCTGGTGCTCACAGAACCCAGCAGAACCCGCCAGCAGAGGAAGAGCCAGACCTGAGAACCCGCCCGACCTTTGACCTTTCAGTGATGTCACAACTGAGTCAGCCGAGACTTTCATTCCTGTGTGAACGTTTCGTCTACATGAAAATCTCAAAACAAATGTCAGATTTTTTTAAATGTCTAAATCTGTGTTAAAAAGCATTAATAACTGAAAACACTGTGACGTTCTGCTGCTGCTGAAACATGTCTTAATGTCCAGATTCTGTGAATGATTAGTCATATTGTGACTGATTAACTGATGAGTCTTACAGAGAGCCAGAGAAGAACTTAATAAAACACAATCTCAGATGATTCTCGTATGATTTTGACCTCTAATTATTCCTGTATTTGTACTGTATGTTTTCAATGTCAATAAACGCTCTCTATCTCCTCTCGGACAGTTTTAATCATAGAATGAAAGTTTTTAGAAAGATTTAAAAAGTTTAGAATAATATTTATTTACCATAGAAGAGGTTCAAAACTGAATTATTTGAAAATGAAAATGGAGTACTTTTTGATGGTGTGAGATTTGAATTTAAGGAAGTGAAACTCACATGGAATAAAGTTCATATCACTGCAGTAGGTGTATTTTTTTATTAATGTAATTAATTGTTAATGTAATTAATTTGTATTAATTGTTTTTAGTATGACTATTAATATGTCGACGAATATGAAAAGAAACGCTTGTTTAATGAATATTAAGTGCAGACGTCATATGTCTATTTAATATTCATAAGCACTCCGTCACCATTGGCAGGTTCCGAGGACGAACGCGACGTCATCAGGAACTGAATGAATATTCATGAGCGGAGACTTCTCTGTTTTTGTGGCTTCCCGCTGAAGCTGTATTAGTTAAAGTAGTGTATTATTGCTCTATATTAATCAAACATGTGTGGTTTTCCTTCAGCGTGTCGAGAGGAATCGGAGTGTGTGTGTGTTCGGCTGAAACTGAAGCTGAGAATGAAACTCGCGCTGTGTTTTCTGCTGGTTTCTGTCAGTCGAGTCGCGGCCAAACCTCCGAATATCGTGTTTATTTTGGCGGATGATTTCGGCTGGAATGATGTGGGATATCACGGGTCTGAGATCAGAACTCCTCATCTGGACCGGCTGTCGGGTCAGGGGGTTCGGCTGGAGAATTACTATGTTCAGCCGCTTTGCACTCCATCCCGAAACCAGCTGATGACCGGCCGATACCAGGTCACTAATCAATCATTCATTCATAACTAATCAATTATGCCATCATATGCTCTGAGAAAGTGTTGTGGTGTTGGTATCAAAGTTCAGAACTCAACTGACAAACAATTCATTTCCTGAATTTGAATTTAAGGAAGTAGAGTTCAAATGGAGTCAAGTGTATACAACTGTAGTTTTTATGTATTTCATTTTTCTGTATAGCATAATACATGTTTAACATGGACCTGTTTAAAGGAATAGTTCTCCCAAAAATGAATATTTTCCCATGATTTATTCACTCTCAAGTCATCCTAGGTGTAAATGACTTCCTTCTTTCAGTCAAACAGAGTCAGAGTTGTATTAAAAAATAACCTGCTCTTCCCAGCTTTATAATGGCAGTGAGTGAATGGTGCCTGAGATTTTAAAGCCCCCCAAAAAATCAATCCATCATAAAAGTAATCCATACGCCTCCAGGGGTTAATAAATGGCTTATGAAGTGGAGAAAAATATCCATATTTATAACTTTATAAACTATAATCACTGGCCGTACGCGAGTTGAGTTCCGGTGGAAGAGTGACCTCTGACCCCACGCACGACCTCTGACCCTACAGATGACGTATGACGTAGGAGTAGAATGAGCTCAAGTGAGAGTCGACGCCTCTCGTGGTTCAAACATCAAACTCAAGCTCCTCCCACATCTCTCTTTAAAAATCCAAGTTTTAAACTTCTAATTCGTGACCTGTGTTTTGTTTTGCTCAATCATCTGCGCTTCCGTGTTCGTCAATATGTCATGCGTCGAGTCAGAGGTCATGTGTAGGTGTCAGAGGTCATGTGTGGGGTCAGAGGTCATGTGTAGGTGTCATAGGTCATGTGTCGGGTCAGAGGTTGTGTGTCGGGTCAGAGGTCATGTGTAGGTGTAGGTGTCAGAGGTCATGTGTCAGGTCAGAGGTTGTGTGTCGGGTCAGAGGTCATGTGTAGGTGTCAGAGGTCATGTGTCAGGTCTTAGGGCATGCGTCGGGGTCAGAGGTCATGTGTCAGGTCAGAGGTTGTGTGTCGGGTCAGAGGTCATGTGTAGGTGTCAGAGGTCATGTGTCAGGTCTTAGGGGATGCGTCGGGGTCAGAGGTCATGCGGCGGGGTCAGAGGTCATGTGCAGGGGGGTCAGAGGTCATGTGTAGGTGTAGGAGGTCATGTGTCGGGTCAGAGGTCATGTGTAGGTGTCAGAGGTCATGTGTCGGGTCAGAGGTCATGCGTGGGGTCAGAGGTCACTATTCCGCAGGAACTTGACTCACGTACGGCCGTTACCGGAAGCCACTGATTATAGTTTATAAAGTTATAAATATGTTTATAATAGACACTCTAGTGTCCTGCACACACTAGTAACATTTAAAAAAAATTATATCTGTTGTCTGAATAATTTTTGGTTTGACTGTAACTCAGATTGTGTTCGTCTGAAAGAAGGCTGTCTCACACACACCTACTGTAGGATGACTTGAGTGTGAGTAAACCATGGGCTAATTTTCATTTTTGGGTGAACTAACCCTTTAATACCATATTCATTGGTCATACGCATATTCCATTATTAATATCAATTCAATCTATTTATTTACATATCCAAAACTGCACTGTAAAAAGTGAACAGTTGAATTAACTTAAAAAATTGAGGAAACCCGTTGCCTTAAAATTAAGTAAATAAACTTAATAAATAAAGTAAACAATATCGAAAAAAAAGTAATGTGGAATTGTCAAATTCACGTAACTTAATTTATTTTCAATTAACCATAAAGTTTATTTACTTAATATTTTTACATTTAGTCATTTGTCCAAAGCGACTTACAAATGAAGACTAAAGCGAGTCGTCATGAAGAGGCTAAAGCAGCACTAGAAGAGCTCAAACACAAGTTCAGGCTCAGAGTCGCAGGGTTATAGGAAAAGGGAATACTTTTTTTTAAAATTATTTTTTAAAATAAATTTTTAAGAGGCCAAGTGCTCAGGGAAGAGAAGAGTTTTCTTTTGAATGCTGTCGGGGACTCTGCGTTCCGGATGATCCGGAGATCATTCCACCAGCAAGGAACCGTTAATGAGAATATCCTGGAGAGTGATTTTTTATATTATATATAATTTTTATATTTTGTATTATAAATGGGTTTACTAAAAAATTTAAGTGAACTGAACACTTTTTACAGTGTGTTTAATTTTACCGTAGAACCACCGTGTGTTTTGTACCATGGTTTTGTTGGAAGTGGGCGGGAATACCGTGGTATATACTGTGTGTGTGTGTGTGTGTGTGTGTGTGTGTGTGTGTGTGTGTTCAGATTCGCACGGGTCTGCAGCACGAGATCATCTGGCCCTGTCAGCCGTACTGTGTTCCTCTGGACGAGAAGCTTCTTCCCGAGCTCCTGCGGGACGCCGGCTACGCCACACACATGGTGGGAAAGTGGCATCTGGGAATGTTCCGGAAGGACTGTCTGCCCACCCGGCGAGGCTTCCAGACCTTCTTCGGTAGGATCCCAGTCCCTGAGTGGCTGCGTTTACATGCAACCTAATCATCCGCTAGTGATGGGATTGGCGGATCAATCGCACTGAAAATCCTTCATGTAAAAATAGCGTAATAACGTAATGAAGTAGAAATAGCGTAATGACGTAGAAATAGCGTAATGACATAGAAATAGCGTAATGACGTAGAAATAGCGTAATGATGTAGAAATAGCGTAATGTAGAAATAGCGTGACGTAGAAATAGCGTAATGAAGTAGAAATAGCGTAATGACGTAGAAATAGCGTAATGACGTAGAAATAGCGTAATGATGTAGAAATAGCGTAATGAAGTAGAAATAGCGTAATGACGTAGAAATAGCGTAATGACGTAGAAATAGCGTAATGACGTAGAAATAGCGTAATGACATAGAAATAGCGTAATGACGTAGAAATAGCGTAATGATGTAGAAATAGCGTAATGTAGAAATAGCGTGACGTAGAAATAGCGTAATGAAGTAGAAATAGCGTAATGACGTAGAAATAGCGTAATGAAGTAGAAATAGCGTAATGACGTAGAAATAGCGTAATGATGTAGAAATAGCGTAATGTAGAAATAGCGTAATGATGTAGAAATAGCGTAATGACGTAGAAATAGCGTAATGATGTAGAAATAGCTTAATGATGTAGAAATAGCGTAATGTAGAAATAGCGTAATGATGTAGAAATAGCGTAATGATGTAGAAATAGCGTAATGACGTAGAAATAGCGTAATGACGTAGAAATAGCGTAATGACGTAGAAATAGCGTAATGATGTAGAAATAGCGTAATGAAGTAGAAATAGCGCAATGATGTAGAAATAGCGTAATGACGTAGAAATAGCGTAATGACGTAGAAATAGCGTAATGAAGTAGAAATAGCGTAATGATGTAGAAATAGCGTAATGAAGTAGAAATAGCGTAATGATGTAGAAATAGCGTAATGACGTAGAAATAGCGTAATGACGTAGAAATAGCGTAATGACGTAGAAATAGCGTAATGATGTAGAAATAGCGTAATGAAGTAGAAATAGCGCAATGATGTAGAAATAGCGTAATGACGTAGAAATAGCGTAATGACGTAGAAATAGCGTAATGAAGTAGAAATAGCGTAATGATGTAGAAATAGCGTAATGAAGTAGAAATAGCGCAATGATGTAGAAATAGCGTAATGACGTAGAAATAGCGTAATGACGTAGAATAGTGTGTAGCTAATAGCAAGTAGCTCTTTCTACATCATCACGCTATTTCGGTTTTCAATGAGATCAAGTGTTCACATGTTCTCTCGATCGGATTAGAAAAGGAATAAACGCCCCTTTCAATCGGATGGAAATGTCATTGGGATCGAGCTCAGTCGGGTCGATTAAGGCGTTTACATGAAGCCTTTCAGTGAGATTGATCCGTCAATACCATCACTAGCGGATGATTAGGTTGCATGTAAACGTGAAGTGTAGCAGGCACAGATGCTTCTGTTGCTCATGTGTGTGTGTGTGTGTGTGTGTGTGCAGGATACCTCACGGGTTCAGAGGATTATTTCACTCATCACAGATGTAGTCTGATCGCTCCTCTGAACGTGACGCGCTGCGCTCTGGACCTGCGGGACGGGGAGGACCCGGCCGTCGATTATACGGGCCAATACTCCACAGAACTCTTCTCTCAGAGAGCCGAGGACATCATCACACGCCACGGGTCGGAGAAGGTACTCGATGTC